CTACTCTCTTCTATGCTGAGACCACACAGCATGGAGTGATCTATATTGTTTATAGTCTATATTGATCCAATTTTAGCTTTATATACTGCAAAAATTCATAACAAATATATTCGTAGCCGTTACGTGAAACAGTAATAGATAAACAAATTCACAAAGAGGAATATCGTATTGATTCGTATCGTATATACGTAAATACCAATATTACTATGTAAATAACTATGTAAGGAAGTTTTCGTGAATATAAATATTTTGTTATTAGTATGATAAATTCTATTACATATCTTGTACACTGCCATCCGCGGTACTTTCAAAACAAAATACGGTATCCATGTTTTAGCATGATTAAGGAACACATTTCATACCTAATAGGACGTGACATCACAGGACAAAAACGGGACAACCCCATTTGTTTACAGTAATAAGTTTTAGTATATCACAAAAAATATCGTTTGCATAAAAAAGTTTTTAACTCGAACATATACTAACGACGGATTTCTTTTACTTTTCCATTAAAGGTAAACTTGATATCGATACTTTGATGTTTTGGTAAACAGAATATGAGAAAAGTGGACAGTAAAAGCTTCGGTATTATGAACGGACTGTATTATTATAGTTATTTTTTATTCAGATAAGAATGGCGGAAGTTTATCTTAATGGAACACACGTAAGTTATTAAGAAGATAAATAACATTATACGTCATAATACTTACTTGTTTTTATTATATCACAGCGTAAGTAATAGTATTAAAAATTATATTAAAGCTATAAATTTTAAAAACCTTTAAAATAACTTCATAAGTGAAAATGTGACAATATATATATATATATATATATATATATATATATATATATATATATATATATATATATATATATATATATATATATATATATATATATATATTTAACTGTCAAATGCTGAAAATAGGTCTTCCCGTAATTTTTTTAACCACCGTACGGTGGTTAAAAAGTTACGATATTAGTCAGAAACTAATTCCTGAGTGCCTACGGTCCTTCATATATATAACAATAACTTTCTTGTTTATTAAATCTGCAACAATTATAAACAGTAATTCATTGTGCAGACAAAGAGCCCTTAATATAGGGTAGGAACGTGGCAATGGTTCTGAATTTCCCATAGGAATGTAACTGGTAGCCGTCTAAAGTAATTATTTAGGATAATGGCCACCCCGTTCGCCAGGTAAATTACAGATGTTACGAGCAAGATGGGAGTTTCCTAAAAATGACAACATGAATTTTGTAATGTATCGTAATCCGAGTAAGAAAAAAAATGTCACATTCAATTTATTTGGATTATCATTTACTTCTTTTGTTAATGTTATTATAGTGCTTTCGAAATACATTTAAAGGCTTTTTTGCCCTTTCTTTTAAAATGTATGTTTATGAAAAACTTGACAGCGTTCAAAGTTAAAAAAAAAATAGTATTAAAGTAAACTTAAATATTTGAATTTTATCGACACCTCTTTTGTAGTAATAATACATATAGCGTTGTAATGTCTTAGTAAGCAATCGCTTAAAAATTTTGGTTTAAATAATTTGATTGATTATTTAAACCAAATTTTTTATGATTTGAATATTAATTGATGATCCTACAATAAAGCTAATTATGACGAAATTTTCATTCGAGTGATTTGAAAATATTCGAAAGAAAATATAAATAATTAAAAATATTATTGGCTGACAATACTAAGATTTAGTACTTTTATAATAACAACTTTTTTGTAGCTCTCCCGCAATAAACGTCGATAAAGTAAGATTGCGTCTTCGTAAAATTAGAAATTTCACCCCAACCTAAGCGATCATATCAATAACATTACAATCCTTAGCAACAATTTCTATACGTTTATATTATAAAATATTATTTAATATCCTAAGTATACACGCAGTTCCTCTACAAAATTATTAGACCCACCTCAAGAAAATACCTTCAATAACGGTGACGAAACAAGATTTGGAGTTTAACTTCTGTTAACTTCTGAAAGACTTTATACATTCCTTGTATCATTATTATGCAAAGGAAATTCATACTAGCGATTCATGATCAAACTAAGTTAAACTTCTACGAAACTCGAGATATAATATATTTTATGTTCTAATATTCTTACAATATTTCAAACAACTGAATGAAAAATACGTAAAGTTAGTGGTGTCGTATTTCTTAGAGATAACTTTGTTCCTACTTCTATTACAAATTCATGTAGTCCAGTCTCAGGAACTTATAGAGACTTTAATAAAACGAAACTAAGTGGATATGAGAAAGGTGCCATTTTATTTTTATACCAATGAGGTGGCAAACAAGCATACGGCTCACCTGATGATAAGTGGTTACCGTAATCTATGAACACCTGCAATACCAGAGGTATTACGCGCGCGTTGCCGACCCTGAAGAAACCTCTTTACCCCCCTTTTGAAGAACCCCATGCTGTAGTCTCTTGGGAATACCTCGGCAGAGAGCTTATTGCATAACTTGAGTGTTTGTGGAAGGAAACATCTCTGAATATAATATTCTTTGACAGTATTGAATTTATAATAGGTTTAAAACAACATAAATTAAATGAAATAATTTTTATCTTATATTTAAAAACTAGAGTTTTTTTTAATACAAATTCCTGTATGAAGTTACACATATTTAAATCTTGTAATTGTTCATTCCCGCTTATAAATCAATAAGTTTATACTTTTATATTATTATAGAATAGTAGGTGTATATGATAATCCTTACTAATGTGATAAGTGTGAAAGTGCGTTTGTTACCTTATAGCGCCATAACGACTTAATCAATCTGTGTGAAATTTGGTATACACATATTATATAAGATTAGGAAGGATACACTGTTTATGCTGGTCAGTAAATATATCCCGATCATGACAAAGTTGCGGATGAAAGCTAGCTAAAAATAATTCTACTTCTATTTTAGATGTGAAAGTTTGTAAATATAAATAAAAACTGTAACAAGCTTGATGGATTTTAGTACGTATGTAGATAGCTTGCGGCCATTATTACTTATTTTATTATTAAAACTAGTTATTTTGATTTAGAAACTAAACTTTTGAACCGGTTTTGATAACATTATTATGGAACTAATTTACAAGTATATTTATTTATTTATTTTACACTTTATTGCACTAAGTAAAAAGAAAAATAACGAATACAGCATATACTAATGAAAAGCAATACAAAAGGCGGTCTTATCGCTAAGCAATCTCTTCAGTCAAGTATACCCTTTCAGATAACGACAAAAACTTTTCTAATCAGTTTACAACTAACAGAGTTATGGGGTAATAAACATAAAAAATACAATCGTATTGAAAACTTTTTTCTATTTGAAGGCAGTTAAAAAACGAATTTATTTATGGTAGTATTAAAATTGTTCTCATATTGGAAAAAGTCATAAAGCCGTCTTAGACGATATGACCACATAATGCGAAGAGATGAGAAACATGTTATTGGAAAATCTTTGCAATTGGCCGAACAATAAAGAGGGAGAGGGCGACTCCATGCTAACTGGTGAACTACTATGAATAAATTATTATCGGAAAATAATGTATTTAAGCCGACAATCTAGGACAGAAACTCTTGGCACTATAAAATTAAGATCCGACCCCACATAAACTGCGAATGTGCTAAGTATAAAAAGAAGAAGACAAATATGACTACATGATGATTTTTTCCAATGGTTATTGTGCACGACGCACCTTTTTAGTTTCTTTTTTAATTTTATTAAAAAGATGTTTTGTTTATAATTTGAAGTCCATGTCAGTTTTTTTTGTTCGTTCGCTTTTTTACTCCGTTGGTTTGCTATGTATATTTTTTATATAATTATATTATCTTTCAAAAACACCGTGTTTCCATACCAGCATACAGTCCTTTCGCCCACAAAAAATGTGTGCGAAAAAAAAAAGAAACTAAAAAGGTGCGTCGTGCACAGTTATTAAGATACAACAATGTAGTCTTTAATAATATAAAGAAATAGCGACATAGAATGGGTTATCGCTTCCTTTCCTGTGTGTGTCATAAAAGGCGAGGCTAAGAGCTTAATAATCGAGGGATGGGCAGCAGCGTCCCTCTTAAAACGTTATCAAAAGGCAAACTGCGGTTGCTAATTCACCTGCAAAGCGTAGACACTACTGGCAAAACCCCCAATAGGAGGAAATTCATGTTCAGCAGTAGACAATTAGTACAGTTATAACGATTAATTTCTTTTACGTCCAAAAATAAATTTGTAACAATCTCTAGACAGATCTTAATTAAGTAATCAACTGTTGACGTATAATGTGCTTTCAATATAGCCTGTGTTTATTATGTTATAAATTTAGCTAGGGCGCTTCGTGGGTCATAAATTATGAGAAATTGCTGTGAATTCAGCGAACAGGCGACGAGGAAAGTTCGCACCTCCCTGGTGCTTAGCTGTGAAAACTTAGGGGCTACGAGTTTGGTGTAAAGTTGCTCCTGCATGATTTATTAGCTTTGAATAAATATAATAAGATTTTAGATTGCATGAAGACGTTATGCATTATTTTTATACAAAACTATGACACTTTCCAAAATATACTCATTAATCGATTTCGATCGGAGTTTTTGTGTATTATAAAGAATAAGTAAATTTTAAAATAATTTATGAAGTCTATCAGAATATAAATTTTTCAGAATATCCATATTGTACAATTTGTGGATGATTTTTGATAACATGACATTTTTGAGAAATGATAAAATAATAAGAACTAATAATGATATTTTACAATATTTTGCAACACTTAACCTAATAACATACTATGCACTGTGTTCCCAAAATAAATTCCATTATACTAATTTAAAGTGTTCAATCTTTTGCAAATATAGTTGCGCTTGTTGCAAATTTTACCTTATTGTTTGTAAGTAATTAGATTTCTCATAATTGTGATAATTTTCATAATAAATACTCGCGGATTTCGATTCATCTCATAATAAGTGTCAAACTTGAAATTGAAAACTACCCACATTTTACGTGATACTGTCGACCATCATATTGGACTCAGTGTTGCCTACCACAAAAGACTATTAAAGATTAATTAATAGGGAGAATTTAGACGCTGTGTTCGAGTATCTATACCATAAAAATGTCGGAATCATCCTTATCGTGGGGTTGCTGCGGCCTGGATAATAGCGAGGAAGAATACATTTGCTACTCTCAGTGTGGACATGCATATCATATTAATTGTTTGAATCCAAATGGGAATACGTCAGACTTTGAAGTCGTGTCTGATTGAAAATGCCCAGCCTGCAAACCTGTAAGAAGAAGCTTAAACAAAGACGTAACACCAGCACGTCAAGATGGTCTTAATCCTATTGAACGCAATGCATCCAAAAGGCCTAATAAAAGAATGGCCCTCTCATCCCCTTCGGAACAAAAAGAATCAGCAGCATATATGACACATAATGACATTCGAGACCTGGTGAAGGAAGTTATTAAATCTGAGTTGAAAACAGCGATTTCTAACATGAGTGAGACTCTCACTAATGAATTGAGAGCTGTCAAAGATGAAATGCGTAATATGAGAGATTCCATGAGTTTTATAAACATTCAATATGAAGAAATTATAAAACAAAATAATATCAACTCAGAAATCATAAAAAACTTGCAGTCTGAAGCCGTCGACATGCGTTCCACAATTACAAATCTGAACAATCGTATTAACCAAATCGAACAGGCTACACGTGCTAATAATTTGGAGGTACAATGCGTCCCGGAGACTAATGGAGAGAACACCTTTGAAATGATTCAAAAGATAGGTAATGCAATTGGTTACAGCATCTCGGAGTCAAGTGTCACACATTGTATACGTACTGCAAAGATAAACCGGTCTAGTTCACGTCCCCGCTCAATTGTAGTGCAGTTTAACTCTCGAAAAACTCGCGATAGTTTTATGGCTGCTGCAATTAAGTTTAACAAGTCTAATCCACACGATAAACTTAACACTGTATCCGCTGAAATAAGTAACATAAAACGACCCATTTATATAACAGAACATCTCTCACCTGCTAATAAGGCACTTCACGCTGCAGCGCGGTCCAGAGCGAAGGCGTTGAACTATAAGTATGTTTGGGTACGTGATGGAAGAATATTTGTGCGGAAGGATGATGGAGCTAACTACAATCTAATAAAGAGCATAGACTGTATAAATAAGTTAGTATAAATTTTATAGTATTATTTTAAGTCATGTAGTAGTTTGTACAACTTTAAAATTCTCATCAATTAATATATTGTATCAAAATGTCCGTGGGCTTAAAACCAAAACACAGGATTTCTATTTAAATGTGTTAAATTGTAACACGGACATTATTGTATTAACTGAAACCTGGTTAAACGATGGTATAGACAGTTCGGAACTTTTTTGTGATAGGTATGTTGTATATAGACGTGATCGCCAGACTAGTAATAGTTCTAAGAGTGAGGGAGGTGGTGTTGCTATTGCTGTCACGAAAGAGCTTGTATCCCACCGAAAAAAGTCATGGGAGAGTAGCTGTGAAGACCTATGGGTTGTTATTAATGTTTCTATTTCTGATTCAATCCATCAAGTCGCCTTATGCGCATTGTATCTCCCGCCTCCTGTTGATAGAATGTTACTGGATAAATTCTTAACAAATTGCAATAGAGTATCTGAAATCCATGATATGCATACTTGTATATTTGGCGATTTTAACTTGGGCAGCATCGACTGGAAGGCTATAGATAATTCTACTATTGGATATCGTTTATCTGCCAGAGACCAATTAATGCTAGATTTTTGTAGAATTAATAATTTTCATCAGTGCAACAATGTTGTCAATATTCGAAACAATATACTTGATCTTGTTCTGGTTGACTTCTCCCATTGCGAAGTCAATAGGGCAGCTGCATCTCTTAGTAGAATTGATCTGCTTCATCCGCCATTGGAAATCGTTATTTCTACCGGAATATTTCCACAGAGCGGATTACGAATCTATCAATGGATATCTTCAGAGTATTGATTGGAATGAAAAGTTTGAAAATCTTGGCTCTGTTAATGATTTAGTGGCTATTTTTTACAATATAATTGAGGATGTCCTGATTCGTTTTGTGCCGAAATACAAACATAAGAAAAACACGTATCCGTGTTGGTTTAGCAATAGTTTAATAAATCGCTATAAAGAAAAGTACAAACTTTTAAAAAAATACAAAAAATACAAAAATCCAAGGGATAAAATAGAACTAGATATTATAAGTAAGAGATGTAAAAAAATGACCACAGACTGTTACAAAACTTTTTTAAATAATAGTGAAAAAAAGATACAACAAGATCCGAAACAGTTTTGGTCATTTATTAAAAGTAAACGGAATAAAGGTAGTTCATTTCCGGCCGAAGTTTCCAATGGCGTTGATTCCAGTACAGATGGATTTGAGATTTGTGAAATGTTCTCTAATTACTTTGCGTCTATTTATGGGTCAGATACTCAAACACTGTTGGATAATAATTATGTGGCAAGGTACTTATTGCCATCAAGCTTAGGCTATGGACTTACGAATGTTCAATTTTCTAAAGACGAAGTTTTGGCTAGGTTGATATGTCCATTGATTCAAAATTTCATAAAACCATTAATCACGGACTTTCAGCATGGTTTTGTCAAGGCTAGATCAGTGAATACAAATTTAGTAACATTTGCTGATTTTATTACTGAAGCTGTAGATACTAACTTGCAAGTTGACGCTATTTATACAGACTTTAGCAAAGCTTTTGATTCAGTACCCCATAATATTCTGCTGCAAAAACTATCTTTATATGGTTTTGCAGATCCTTTGCTATCATGGCTGAGATCGTACCTAACCAGTCGATCATTTTACGTTGTTATTAATGGATTTAAATCGCTCAATAAAATGATTACATCAGGTATCCCTCAAGGCTCTAATATTGGTCCGATTCTCTTCAACATATTTATAAATGATGTTGTTTCGGGTTTTGAGTCGTCCTTAGCATATTTGTTTGCAGATGATTTGAAACTTGCAAAAATTATAAGATCTGTCTATGATTGTGTGCTTTTGCAACGCGATCTGGATAGACTAATTATGTGGTGTGAATATAATGGCATGTCTCTGAATTTCAGGAAATGTCTTCATATAAAATTCACTAGAAAACACAATAAAATTGCCTTTGATTGTCACATCTATGGTGAAACTTTAAGTGAAGTGAGCACTATAAGAGATCTGGGTATACTTCTAGACAATAAATTAACATATTTACCTCAAATAGAGTTTGTAATAGCAAAGGCATCAAGAGCTTTAGGTTTTGTAATTCGCAATGCCAAGGAATTTGTAAATCCAAAAACTAAAATAAAATTATATTATTCATTAGTTCGAAACGTCTTGGAATATGGTTCGATGGTTTGGCGACCACATTATTCGACCCATATTTTAAGATTAGAGCGTATACAAAAAAGGTTTCTCTGGCATTTGGCTTTTTCAGCTCGACAATCTAAGACCTTGGTGGCCTACGGGAACAGACTTATCTATTTCAATATGGTATCACTTGATAAGCGTAGAACATTAATAGATTTAATGTTCTTATATAAGTTGTTTAGGAACAGAATTGACTGTTCTCAGCTTCTTGCCAAATTTAATTTTCGATTGCCCGTACACTATCCCCGTAGTTACAGCAGTCTAATGTCCGTGTCGTTCCGTAGAACTGTTCTTGGTGCCAACTCCACTGTACCACGTCTTTGCAAGCTGTTGAATGATTGCAAGCAACACTTGGATATTCACTTCGATACAGAAGGGGATTTCTATAGGAAAGCATTACAGTTAATTTAAATAGCTAAAAAACTTATGTGAAGCAATCATCTACTGAATCTAAAAAACTATACCAATGTCAAATACTTCAAGAGATTGTTATACCATATTATTGTTTTTGTTAATTAGCATGCTGTGTTTCCTTTAAAATGATTGTACACTAAGTATAAATAGACGGTAATTTTAATATTAAATCTTATCAGTGTAACAATTACTAGGAGACCAAATAAAGATAAAATAAAATAAAATATTTTATTATATTTTTAAAGTAAAATCGACAAAAAAATACATACATATGATACATTCAATTTGAAAGATGTGATTAGCATATCTATCCGTATTCTAGTTCATGCCACTTTCTAATTGAATTTACTCCTATGTAAAATAACAATCAACATATAGATGATTATCATCATCATATTAGTCGTTATCAGTCTCCTGCTGCACGTAGGTATCTCCCAAAGACCGTCATTACGAACGGCCCCGTTCCATTTCCATCGATAATTACTCTCGGAAATTCAATTAATTTTTTTTATGTTTAAAACAAAAACAGATTAGTCATATCCATTGCAAGTTTAGTTTTTGGAATAAAATTGTTTAGAAGATTAAACACAAAGTGTACTCGTATTATAGTCTTTAGATTAATCGGTATATGCCTAGTCTAATATCTAATTTTATATGCTTTATTACATTTATACATGTTTGCTTTTTCATAAGTTAGATTGTCTTTTTATTCGCTTTTTCTATCAGAGTTTTATCAAACCATTGAAATTCCTTAAACTATTAACTCTTCATATTTCACTTTGCTCCATTATGTTAGGTTTTTCTTTTTCGTTTGTGTTTTTTCAGATTCATTTAATACCATCTGTAATATCACCTTTTTATGAAGCGTTATCTTTCCACCAAATAATCACTGCTATTAACTTTCTATGAAGCATTTAATTATATCAAATAAAATTTTTCTATTTGGTACATTTCGATCCGTTCTTTTTTGTTTGCTCGACATTCCACACCTCATTATTTTTAGCTCTCCATCCTTTCCCATCTTTTTAAAATCCCTTACCTTGTTTCGCCTGGAAGTATTATTATTTTACTGTTTTTTTTTTTTATTTGATGTACCAATAAGTAAATAAAGTATATTGAGAGTCTTAGAGATATTGTGATATTTATGGTAATTTTCACATCTTTATGTGAAGGTTACTTTACCATAAAATATATGGGTGAAAAAGAATATTCCGTAATAGAAGAGAAGTAAAAAGAACCGCAAGAGAAGTAAAACTAAAAATTTTACCAGCCATGGGTACCTTTCAATAAGAGAAGCATATCTATAATTCTCTTATTGGCTAGTAGCAGGATAATAATAAGAGTTTTTAAAATAGTCAAATATCCAGTGAAGCATTTATAATAACAATAAAAGTAAAAGTATATATTTTTTGTTAAATTTTGTGGAGAAAGCTGATCACGACTTCGGGATTATTCTTATTATATAGGTATTTTGTTTGTCTCTTACTGAGAATATCGAGTTCTATATGTATAAGATTAGGGACTGTAGAGAAGTCAAGCGGGTAATCATTTACTTAGGAGGACTGGATCTCGTTATCTAAGTATTTCCCTGAATCAGATGTCGCTCGAATCAATTACGTTTATCCTTCAATAAGAATATATTTATTTATTCAGAGAACGGATACACCTATTTAGTATATATTTAATTTTTTTTTCTTAGTGGGAATTCTGCTAATACTTTTAGTAAATGTGAATATTTGTTAATAGATAGGTGGTGAAAAACTTATAAAGCAGTATTTAATGTAATTGCGAGTAACAAATTTTTTCATAAGTAATTATTATTAAAGAATATTCATGTTTAAAAAACTAAATATAGTAATATTTATATATGTATATTGTACATATCTATTAATCAATTTTCATGCTAGGTCTCTTACGGATACACAGACATGCTGTATACGTTATCACAAATGCACATTATAATAATTAAAATAAAATGTTTACTTTCTTCTTTAATTAAAATCAAATTAAATGGAAAAGTATTTATTTCAGTAACATAATTGACATCAATATTTTATTTGCTGGTAGTGATGCCTTCTTTTATGCACAAAAACACCTATAGCAAAAATCGCCGCAAGTAATTTGCATTATTTTATTAATTCGCTGAATTTAATATTATGTCATTTAATTAAGAATTTCCTCGACACTATAGTTCAAATAGGGCACTTACTCATACAGGTCTACATAAAAATACTGTACCAATTTTAAACTCTAATTAAATTTATGGCGATGATAAATACCGTGAACAAAGTAATACATTACTCTTGAGATCGGAAATAAAGCAATTTATGGCATGGAATTATTGAATTTGGAAGGACGAGGCGAAGCCGA